GAAGAAAGTCCTTACCCAGTCCCAACTTGTAGGATTGTGTTCACCGGAGTGGAACAAGCAACACAATCACCCCAAGTGAAATGCCGGCTAACGGCGTCAATCAAGGCAGGGTAAACAACCGTAAGAGAGCCAACTTCCCAGTCAGAAGGTTAAAAAGATAAAATGCCAGTGGTTTGAAGTGGAGAAAGAAAAAGAAACAAGCTACGTTGTTAATTAGGCCTGACGAATGTCAATGGAGCCTCCATTGGTCAGGGCAGTCTACCTTTAATGCAGTGTTTCTCAACCTTGTCAACTTGAAGATGTCTGGACTTCAACTCCCAGAATTCCCCAGCCAGCGAATGCCAGGGAATTCAGGGACAAAGGATGACCTTGGCTTTCCATAAAGAATGTTGTTATGGCTACATACTACCCAACTCCATACAATCCCCCCTCCGATTTTCCCACAATAGAAAATAGACAGTAGAGAGCAGGCCTGAGAAGCAAACCACAAGATGGCTTGCGGGCCTGACAGATACACTATCACAGTGTTTCTCAACCTTGTCAACTTGAAGATGTCCGGACTTCACCTCCCAGATTTCTCCAGCCAGCGAATGCTGGCTGGGGAATTCTGGGAGTTGAAGTCCGGACATCTTCAAGTTGCTAAGGTTGAGAAACACTGTGATAGTGTATCTGTCAGGCCCGCAAGCCATCTTGTGCTTGCCTGCTCTCTACTGCAAGCCATCTTGTAAGCTTGCCTGCTCTCTACTGTCTATTTTCTATTGTGCGAAAATCGGAGGGGGGATTGTATGGAGTTGGGTAGTATGTAGCCATAACAACATTCTTTATGGAAAGCCAAGGTCATCCTTTGTCCCTGCACCTTTGCACCTGGCTGGAACCGGATGGGTGGAAACTGTCAGCATAGCAGTGGAAGATTGGACAACGTGATGGACTTGTGGGTGTGGGGGCAGGATCTTGAATTTTCAATTGGAAAGCTTTCAGATTCGGGTTTTCCCAGATGCACCAACATGGCTCTCGTAATAAATTGGAACTTTTGAGGAATCCTTTGCCTCGGACTCTGATTTACTTTTGGATGCTATTTGGAACCCTTGGAAGAGACCATTGGAAGACCTAGAAGGCCAGGTTGTCCTAGAGAAAGTCTATGCAGCTGCTGTAAGTCAACATCGACTTACGGATACGTAATCAAATAAAAATAGAAGATTCAGCTCAAATCAAAACCTTTATTTCAGCGTAGTGCTATGGGCAGCATAGCACTACACAATCAAGCCAACAGTTTGATTAGAACTGTTAAAACCAGAAACAATGGACTGAAATATGAGCTCAGCTAGGTAACCAATAAGAAAAAAAGTACAGTATTTTCTCCAATACCATCAAGACTAATACTGCTACCATCAAGACATAACTGCTATTGTTAGTCCTCATATTACAATTCTAATTCCCTTTAAATCTATATGCCTATAAACTAGTGTTTAGACCTAAGAGATATAAACAGAGAAGAAAGGTTTAAATCTAAAATTTCCATATTTATGAAGCTGGAGGATCAATCACTTTACTAGTAGTAAAAGAAATTTGGCAGTTTCAAAAAGGATAGCTCTAATAGATAAGAGGAGACGTGTTTAAAATAAATCAGTATGGATTCTAACATCCTTATAAAACTAGCAATGCAAAATCACAGCAGATTCTCCATTGTCTGTATCACTTGGACATCATCAAAGGATATTCAAAGAGTTAGAACAGTGTTTCCCAAAGTGTGGTACGCGTACCCCCAGGGGTACGGGAAGAGCTTGGTGGGGGTACGCGTTGCACCGGAGTTTGGTGGGGATCACGCGGGAATATCCACTGCACCGTGCTTAGCTGCGCCCACAGAACCAAATTATGATGATCTGTCATCTCAACATAAAC